CTAAACACTATTACAGAATTACAAAAAGACAGTCGAGACATTATACCTGTTGTAAATAATGTTACTCCCAGACCAAAAAACCAAGTCACGCCGACAATCCATGACATGCTCTGCATTGTGTTGATCGAGTTGTGACGCAGAGGGAAACATATTGCAATCAACCTGTCATAGGCAAGTATAGCAAGTGCATATGACTCCAAAGATATAAAAGCGTAGTAGACGAACATTTGTAACATACAAAGGTTAAATGGAATAAAGTTGTCTTTAACAAGGAATATCTTTATCATGCTGGGAATAGTGCATGTGTTCAGGATAACATCAATTACTGCAAGGTTTACCACAGCCAGAAATTTTGGAGTGTGTAAAGAACGATTAAAGCAAATTACATAGATCACCAAACAATTGGCAAGCACTGTGACCACATAAACAAACGATAGAAAGATAAAGTAGACACTGATGAAGGGAAAAGTCTCAAACCCAATGATATAGAAGCCTGGAGGATGAATGATGATGTTAGAGTCATTGAAAACAGTCCTGAGAAAAGACATAGTAGATCTCCGCAGCCTGTGATGGAGGATGGCTCTCTGGTCTGATAAAGAGGAAATAAATCACATCACACACGTAGACGTTGAAAAGTCTCATATGCATAATTATCATGCCATTTTCATTAATACAATTCAACCTAACAGTGTTTAAAGTAGTTATGTGATAGTTAATCATGAAGCTTACCTGAGGCCCTGCATCAATAGTAACTCTGACTCTAACTGTCTGACCCCTTATACAGTGGAATATATACTTTACTTATTGATCTCCCGAGATAAAGCTTTCTAGTGATACTGAGAAGAAGAAGCCTTTTAATGATATTAATTTGTTCCACAGAGATCACGGCATTACTTTTTCTTTTCATTAAACTTATTAAGCTCAGTTCACAAGCACTTTATTACCCTCATTGATGAGAAGTACCTCTTGTGAGTAGATGGAGAATTCAGGACCAACCACACTTGAGTCACTGACTTATTTGGTCACATACATGTAATAAGCATTATTGTGTAATCATTTGCTTATTTAGATTTCTGTAAATGTACTTTTTCAATACATTATTGAGACAAAACAACTTTCAGAAAGTTTGGAAACAACATGTATTATGCTGACTTTCTTAAACAGGCCATGGTTTTAATGAGCCTAATTTGTGATGCCGTCACCAGAGAGTTTCTGTTAATGACCTTGTCTTTAACAAGCAAACCTTTTACTGTGCAAACTTCAAACTAATTCATCTGAGTTGTTATTGTTACTGATGCGAATAAACACAATACAGCATGGAGGTTAAAGGTCCCATTATTCTATGGTGTTTTTAGAAAGCGGTCCTTTCATTTAAAGTACCTTTTTCCAGGCCAGCAGCCGGGTCGGTTGTCTTGGTCTTTCTACACTGCCTAAAAGTCTTAGGCTGCTTTCTCCTATTAACACTAAAACTCCAGATATAATGTGTCACCTTTGGTCTTGTTGTTGGCCTTGTCATGCTCCTTTGGCATGTGTGACTAGAACTGCGATGCTACGGTTGAATTCAAATCAATTCAATAACAGACTTTATTTCATTAAATGTTTTACTTGAAACATTGTGTTCTACAGCGTGTGCAAGTGAATAATATGTAATTGTAAAGAGGGTATTAAGAGCTCATTCATTCAATTCTGTTTTGGAGTTTATATATACTTGATCTCTGAATCATTAGCTATTATTTTAGCAGTAAAGTGTTTAGTGTGATAGAGTATATCCAAACCTGGTAATTTGGTGATATGGTACAAGCCAGTTTTCATGGTGAAGGTTCACCGGGGTTACTCAATCTGTGATGTAGTCAGTGAATCTCACATTCATCTGCACGGCCCTTTTATTTTCTTCATCCTTAAACAAGGTCTGTAATCGGGTTTTCTTTCAGCACGTTAGATTTACTAGATTCCCAAAACAACAAAGTTAAACCGAGAATCAATGATTTGAACAGTAATGAAGTACACAGGTACATGAAGTCCACATGTTTAATGCTTACGTTTTTACAGATTTTTAACTCATGTATACGTGGAAGATGAATTACTTCACTTTTAAACTTCATTGTTGGTATAAATAAACACAATAAAACAATATTCACTTTTATCAGTCACAAATAAGATATCTAAGCAGTTGAAGTACATTCAAATTTGAGAAAGTTCTGACAATGAATAATTACAAATATCGACACCAAATCTTTAAAGGTTCTCAAAATATATAGCCTCAAGGCTGCTGCTCTATAGTCATGCTCTTTTCCGTTAATTTCTTTAACACTATGAAATGCACACAGTAGATTTAACGAAAAAGTGTTACGATAGAAATTTCGAATTTTACTTAAGTACAGATTAGCTAAGTAATATTAGAGATACCAGCAACAGCATACTAGTAAATCAATTGACTTACTACTGCCAATTGGTCCTTTTTTAAAATGTAATGCTGTGTTTTATCAACCCTAAAAGGATTGTTTTTTGGGGGGTTTGTTGGTTATGTGCCAATTGTATTTCTTCTTACCAATGCCAGAACTCTGATTTTGATCTCTTTGGTTTTCAAAGAATATATGAGAGGATTGACACAAGGTGGGATGCAAGAGGCCAACGACAGACTCAGCACACGCTGGTCTGGGTCGATCAGACCCAGATAGAACCCAACGCAAAATATGGTAAGAATAGGAATGTAAAACACAGCAACAAGGATGATATGCTCCACACAAGTGGCCAGAGCTTTCACCTGACTGTCTAAAGATTTCATCATGAATACAGTCGCCAGAATGCTCACATAAGACAGGAGAATAAAAATAAAGGGTACTGCAAGTATCAAAATGGTAAGAAAAGACGCTGAAGCCCAATGCATTGAATAATCATTACAGGCGAGTCTGAACACAGGCGCATAGTCACAGAAATAGCTAAACACTATTACAGAATTACAAAAAGACAGTCGAGACATTATACCTGTTGTAAATAATGTTACTCCCAGACCAAAAAACCAAGTCACGCCGACAATCCATGACATGCTCTGCATTGTGTTGATCGAGTTGTGACGCATAGGGAAACATATTGCAATCAACCTGTCATAGGCAAGTATAGCAAGTGCATATGACTCCAAAGATATAAAAGCGTAGTAGACGAACATTTGTAACATACAAAGGTTAAATGGAATAAAGTTATCTTTAACAAGGAATATCTTTATCATGCTGGGAATAGTGCATGTGTTCAGGATAACATCAATTACTGCAAGGTTTACCACAGCCAGAAATTTTGGAGTGTGTAAAGAACGATTAAAGCAAATTACATAGATCACCAAACAATTGGCAAGCACTGTGACCACATAAACAAACGATAGAAAGATAAAGTAGACACTGATGAAGGGAAAAGTCTCAAACCCAATGATATAGAAGCCTGGAGGATGAATGATGATGTTAGAGTCATTGAAAACAGTCCTGAGAAAAGACATAGTAGATCTCCGCAGCCTGTGATGGAGGATAGCTCTCTGGTCTGATAAAGAGGAAATCAATCACATCACACACGTAGACGTTGAAAAGTCTCATATGCATAATTATCATGCCATTTTCATGAATACAATTCAACCTAACAGTGTTTAAAGTAGTTATGTGATAGTTAATCATGAAGCTTACCTGAGGCCCTGGATCAATAGTAACTCTGACTCTAACTGTCTGACCCCTTATACAGTGGAATATATACTTTCCTTATTGATCTCCCGAGATAAAGCTTTCTAGTGATACTGAGAAGAAGAAGCCTTTTAATGATATTAATTTGTTCCACAGAGATCACGGCATTACTTTTTCTTTTCATTAAACTTATGAAGCTCAGTTCACAAGCACTTTATTTCCCTCACTGATGAGACTGACCTAATTTGAGTAGATGTACATTAACTTTTTGTATATATTAACAAGACCCTACTTTCAGAAAGTCTGTAAACAACATGCATTATGCTGACTTTCTTAAACAGGCCATGGTTTTAATGAGCCTAATTTGTGATGCCGTCACCAGAGAGTTTCTTTTAATGACCTTGTCTTTAACAAGCAAACCTTTTACTGTGCAAACTTCAAACTAATTCATCTGAGTTGTGATTGTTACTGATGCGAATAAACACAATACAGCATGGAGGTTAAAGGTCCCATTATTCTATGGTGTTTTTAGAAAGCGGTCCTTTCATTTAAAGTACCTTTTTCCAGGCCAGCAGCCGGGTCGGTTGTCTTGGTCTTTCTACACTGCCTAAAAGTCTTAGGCTGCTTCCTCCTATTAACACTAAAACTCCAGATATAATGTGTCACCTTTGGTCTTGTTGTTGGCCTTGTCATGCTCCTTTGGCATGTGTGACTAGAACTGCGATGCTACGGTTGAATTCAAATCAATTCAATAACAGACTTTATTTCATTAAATGTTTTACTTGAAACATTGTGTTCTACAGCGTGTGCAAGTGAATAATATGTAATTGTAAAGAGGGTATTAAGAGCTCATTCATTCAATTGTGTTTTGGAGTTTATATATACTTGATCTCTGAATCATTAGCTATTATTTTAGCAGTAAAGTGTTTAGTGTGATAGAGTATATCCAAACCTGGTAATTTGGTGATATGGTACAAGCCAGTTTTCATGGTGAAGGTTCACCGGGGTTACTCAATCTGTGATGTAGTCAGTGAATCTCACATTCATCTGCATGGCCCTTTTATTTTCTTCATCCTTAAACAAGGTCTGTAATCGGGTTTTCTTTCAGCACGTTAGATTTACTAGATTCCCAAAACAACAAAGTTAAACCGAGAATCAATGATTTGAACAGTAATGAAGTACACAGGTTCATGAAGTCCACATGTTTAATGCTTACGTTTTTACAGATTTTTAACTCATGTATACGTGGAAGATGAATTACTTCACTTTTAAACTTCATTGTTGGTATAAATAAACACAATAAAACAATATTCACTTTTATCAGTAACAAATAAGATATCTAAGCAGTTGAAGTACATTCAAATTTGAGAAAGTTCTGACAATGAATAATTACAAACAACATCGACACCAAATCTTTAAAGGTTCTCAAAATATATAGCACATCACAACACAAAACCTGCACACAAAACAAAACAATGATCCTTTAGAGTTGAGCCTTTTGAGATTCATTTGTGTGGCTCATGCATGCTGTCTGCCCATAACCTGCTTTAGTGATGAGGAGCAACAGAGCCTCAAGGCTGCTGCTCTATAGTCATGCTCTTTTCCGTTAATTTCTTTAACACTATGAAATGCACACAGTAGATTTAACGAAAAAGTGTTGCGATAGAAATGTCGAATTTTACTTAAGTACAGATTAGCTAAGTAATATTAGAGATACCAGCAACAGCATACTAGTAAATCAATTGGCTTACTACTGCCAATTGGACCTTTTTATTTGTATTTAGTGCTGTGTTTTATCAACCCTAAAAGGATTGTTTTTTGGGGGGTTTGTTGGTTATGTGCCAATTGTATTTCTTCTTACCAATGCCAGAACTCTGATTTTGATCTCTTTGGTTTTCAAAGAATATATGAGAGGATTGACACAAGGTGGGATGCAAGAGGCCAACGACAGACTCAGCACACGCTGGTCTGGGTCGATCAGACCCAGATAGAACCCAACGCAAAATATGGTAAGAATAGGAATGTAAAACACAGCAACAAGGATGATATGCTCCACACAAGTGGCCAGAGCTTTCACCCGACTGTCTAAAGATTTCATCATGAATACAGTCGCCAGAATGCTCACATAAGACAGGATAATAAAAGTAAAGGGTACTGCAAGTATCAAAATGCTAAGGAAAGACGCTGAAGCCCACTGCATTGAATAATCATTACAGGCGAGTCTGAACACAGGCGCATAGTCACAGAAATAGCTAAACACTCTGACAGAATTACAAAAAGACAGTCGAGACATTAGACTTGTTGTAAATAATGTTACTCCCAGACCAAAAAACCAAGTCACGCCGACAATCCATGACATGCTCTGCATTGTGTTGATCGAGTTGTGACGCAGAGGGAAACATATTGCAATCAACCTGTCATAGGCAAGTATAGCAAGTGCATATGACTCCAAAGACATAAAAGCGTAGTAGACATACATTTGTAAGATGCATAGGTTAAATGGAATAAAGTTATCTTTAACAAGGAATATCTTTATCATGCTGGGAATAGTGCATGTGTTCAGGATAACATCAATTACTGCAAGGTTTACCACAGCCAGAAATGTTGGAGTGTGTAAAGAACGATTAAAGCAAATGACATAGATCACCAAACAATTGGCAAGCACTGTGACCACATAAACAAACGATAGAAAGATAAAGTAGACACTGATGAAGGGAAAAGTCTCAAACCCAATGATATAGAAGCCTGGAGGATGAATGATGATGTTAGAGTCATTGAAAACAGTCCTGAGAAAAGACATAGTAGATCTCCACAGCCTGTGATGGAGGATGGCTCTCTGGTCTGATAAAGAGGAAATAAATCACATCACACACGTAGACGTTGAAAAGTCTCATATGCATAATTATCATGCCATTTTCATTAATACAATTCAACCTAACAGTGTTTAAAGTAGTTATGTGATAGTTAATCATGAAGCTTACCTGAGGCCCTGCATCAATAGTAACTCTGACTCTAACTGTCTGACCCCTCATACAGTGGAATATATACTTTCCTTATTGATCTCCCGAGATAAAGCTTTCTAGTGATACTGAGAAGAAGAAGCCTTTTAATGATATTAATTTGTTCCACAGAGATCACGGCATTACTTTTTCTTTTCATTAAACTTATTAAGCTCAGTTCACAAGCACTTTATTACCCTCATTGATGAGAAGTACCTCTTGTGAGTAGATGGAGAATTCAGGACCAACCACACTTGAGTCACTGATTTATTTGGTCACATACATGTAATAAGCATTATTGTGTAATCATTTGCTTATTTAGATTTCTGTAAATGTACTTTTTCAATACATTATTGAGACAAAACAACTTTCAGAAAGTTTGGAAACAACATGTATTATGCTGACTTTCTTAAACAGGCCATGGTTTTAATGAGCCTAATTTGTGATGCCGTCACCAGAGAGTTTCTGTTAATGACCTTGTCTTTAACAAGCAAACCTTTTACTGTGCAAACTTCAAACTAATTCATCTGAGTTGTGATTGTTACTGATGCGAATAAACACAATACAGCATGGAGGTTAAAGGTCCCATTATTCTATGGTGTTTTTAGAAAGCGGTCCTTTCATTTAAAGTACCTTTTTCCAGGCCAGCAGCCGGGTCGGTTGTCTTGGTCTTTCTCCACTGCCTAAAAGTCTTAGGCTGCTTTCTCCTATTAACACTAAAACTCCAGATATAATGTGCCACCTTTGGTCTTGTTGTTGGCCTTGTCATGCTCCTTTGGCATGTGTGACTAGAACTGCGATGCTACGGTTGAATTCAAATCAATCCAATAACAGACTTTATTTCATAAAATGTTTTACTTGAAACATTGTGTTCTACAGCGTGTGCAAGTGAATAATATGTAATTGTAAAGAGGGTATTAAGAGCTCATTCATTCAATTGTGTTTTGGAGTTTATATATACTTGATCTCTGAATCATTAGCTATTATTTTAGCAGTAAAGTGTTTAGTGTGATAGAGTATATTCAAACCTGGTAATTTGGTGATATGGTACAAGCCAGTTTTCATGGTGAAGGTTCACCGGGGTTACTCAATCTGTGATGTAGTCAGTGAATCTCACATTCATCTGCATGGCCCTTTTATTTTCTTCATCCTTAAACAAGGTCTGTAATCGGGTTTTCTTTCAGCACGTTAGATTTACTAGATTCCCAAAACAACAAAGTTAAACCGAGATTCAATGATTTGAACAGTAATGAAGTACACAGGTACATGAAGTCCACATGTTTAATGCTTGTTACATTTTTTACAGAGTTTTAAATCATGTATACGTGGAAGATGAATTACTTCACTTTTAAACTTCATTGTTGGTATAAATAAACACAATAAAACAATATTCACTTTTATCAGTCACAAATAAGATATCTAAGCAGTTGAAGTACATTCAAATTTGAGAAAGTTCTGACAATGAATAATTACAAACAACATCGACACCAAATCTTTAAAGGTTCTCAAAATATATAGCACATCACAACACAAAACCTGCACACAAAACAAAACAATGATCCTTTAGAGTTGAGCCTTTTGAGATTCATTTGTGTGGCTCATGCATGCTGTCTGCCCATAACCTGCTTTAGTGATGAGGAGCAACAGAGCCTCAAGGCTGCTGCTCTATAGTCATGCTCTTTTCCGTTAATTTCTTTAACACTGTGAAATGCACACAGTAGATTTAACGAAAAAGTGTTACGATAGAAATGTCGAATTTTACTTAAGTACAGATTAGCTAAGTAATATTAGAGATACCAGCAACAGCATACTAGTAAATCAATTGGCTTACTACTGCCAATTGGTCCTTTTTTTAAAATTTAATGCTGTGTTTTATCAACCCTAAAAGGATTGTTTTTTGGGGGGTTTGTTGGTTATGTGCCAATTGTATTTCTTCTTACCAATGCCAGAACTCTGATTTTGATCTCTTTGGTTTTCAAAGAATATATGAGAGGATTGACACAAGGTGGGATGCAAGAGGCCAACGACAGACTCAGCACACGCTGGTCTGGGTCGATCAGACCCAGATAAAACCCAACGCAAAATATGGTAAGAATAGGAATGTAAAACACAGCAACAAGGATGATATGCTCCACACAAGTGGCCAGAGCTTTCACCCGACTGTCTAAAGATTTCATCATGAATACAGTCGCCAGAATGCTCACATAAGACAGGAGAATAAAAATAAAGGGTACTGCAAGTATCAAAATGGTAAGGAAAGACGCTGAAGCCCAATGCATTGAATAATCATTACAGGCGAGTCTGAACACAGGCGCATAGTCACAGAAATAGCTAAACACTATTACAGAATTACAAAAAGACAGTCGAGACATTAGACTTGTTGTAAATAATGTTACTCCCAGACCAAAAAACCAAGTCACGCCGACAATCCATGACATGCTCTGCATTGTGTTGATCGAGTTGTGACGCATAGGGAAACATATTGCAATCAACCTGTCATAGGCAAGTATAGCAAGTGCATATGACTCCAAAGATATAAAAGCGTAGTAGACGAACATTTGTAACATACAAAGGTTAAATGGAATAAAGTTGTCTTTAACAAGGAATATCTTTATCATGCTGGGAATAGTGCATGTGTTCAGGATAACATCAATTACTGCAAGGTTTACCACAGCCAGAAATGTTGGAGTGTGTAAAGAACGATTAAAGCAAATTACATAGATCACCAAACAATTGGCAAGCACTGTGACCACATAAACAAACGATAGAAAGATAAAGTAGACACTGATGAAGGGAAAAGTCTCAAACCCAATGATATAGAAGCCTGGAGGATGAATGATGATGTTAGAGTCATTGAAAACAGTCCTGAGAAAAGACATAGTAGATCTCCACAGCCTGTGATGGAGGATGGCTCTCTGGTCTGATAAAGAGGAAATCAATCACATCACACACGTAGACGTTGAAAAGCCTCATATGCATAATTATCATGCCATTTTCATGAATACAATTCAACCTAACAGTGTTTAAAGTAGTTATGTGATAGTTAATCATGAAGCTTACCTGAGGCCCTGGATCAATAGTAACTCTGACTCTAACTGTCTGATCCCTTATACAGTGGAATATATACTTTCCTTATTGATCTCCCGAGATAAAGCTTTCTAGTGATACTGAGAAGAAGAAGCCTTTTAATGATATTAATTTGTTCCACAGAGATCACGGCATTACTTTTTCTTTTCATTAAACTTATTAAGCTCAGTTCACAAGCACTTTATTACCCTCATTGATGAGAAGTACCTCTTGTGAGTAGATGGAGAATTCAGGACCAGCCACACTTGAGTCACTGACTTATTTGGTCACATACATGTAATAAGCATTATTGTGTAATCATTTGCTTATTTAGATTTCTGTAAATGTACTTTTTCAATACATTATTGAGACAAAACAACTTTCAGAAAGTTTGGAAACAACATGTATTATGCTGACTTTCTTAAACAGGCCATGGTTTTAATGAGCCTAATTTGGGATGCCGTCACCAGAGAGTTTCTGTTAATGACCTTGTCTTTAACAAGCAAACCTTTTACTGTGCAAACTTCAAACTAATTCATCTGAGTTGTGATTGTTACTGATGCGAATAAACACAATACAGCATGGAGGTTAAAGGTCCCATTATTCTATGGTGTTTTTAGAAAGCGGTCCTTTCATTTAAAGTACCTTTTTCCAGGCCAGCAGCCGGGTCGGTTGTCTTGGTCTTTCTACACTGCCTAAAAGTCTTAGGCTGCTTTCTCCTATTAACACTAAAACTCCAGATATAATGTGCCACCTTTGGTCTTGTTGTTGGCCTTGTCATGCTCTTTTGGCATGTGTGACTAGAACTGCGATGCTACGGTTGAATTCAAATCAATTCAATAAGACTTTATTTCATAAAATGTTTTACTTGAAACATTGTGTTCTACAGCGTGTGCAAGTGAATAATATGTAATTGTAAAGAGGGTATTAAGAGCTCATTCATTCAATTGTGTTTTGGAGTTTATATATACTTGATCTCTGAAACATTAGCTATTATTTTAGCAGTAAAGTGTTTAGTGTGATAGAGTATATCCAAACCTGGTAATTTGTTGATATGGTACAAGCCAGTTTTCATGGTGAAGGTTCACCGGGGTTACTCAATCTGTGATGTAGTCAGTGAATCTCACATTCATCTGCACGGCCCTTTTATTTTCTTCATCCTTAAACAAGGTCTGTAATCGGGTTTTCTTTCAGCACGTTAGATTTACTAGATTCCCAAAACAACAAAGTTAAACCAAGATTCAATGATTTGAACAGTAATGAAGTACACAGGTACATGAAGTCCACATGTTTAATGCTTACGTTTTTACAGATTTTTAACTCATATATACGTGGAAGATGAATTACTTCACTTTTAAACTTCATTGTTGGTATAAATAAACACAATAAAACAATATTCACTTGTATCAGTCACAAATAAGATATCTAAGCAGTTGAAGTACATTCAAATTTGAGAAAGTTCTGACAATGAATAATTACAAACAACATCGACACCAAATCTTTAAAGGTTCTCAAAATATATAGCCTCAAGGCTGCTGCTCTATAGTCATGCTCTTTTCCGTGAATTTCTTTAACACTGTGAAATGCACACAGTAGATTTAACGAAAAAGTGTTACGATAGAAATTTCGAATTTTACTTAAGTACAGATTAGCTAAGTAATATTAGAGATACCAGCAACAGCATACTAGTAAATCAATTTACTTACTACCAGAGGTGGGACCAAGTCATTGTTTT